GTGGGGGCGGGGGGGAGACAGAGGGGGTTGTTGGGATCCCGAGGTGGAATGAAAGTGACGTGTGGGCTGTTGGGGTGTGCTGTTGGGGTGGGCTGTTGGGGTGGGCTGTTGGGGTGGGCTGTTGGGGTGTGCTGTTGGGGTGGGCTGTTGGGGTGGGCTGTTGGGGTGGGCTGTTGGGGTGGGCTGTTGGGGTGGGCTGTTGGGGTGGGCTGTTGGGGTGTGCTGTTGGGGTGGGATGTTGGGGTGGGCTGTTGGGGTGTGCTGTTGGGGTGGGCTGTTGGGGTGGGCTGTTGGGGTATGCTGGAGGTGCTTGAAGAGCACGGGTTGGCTTGAAGAGCACGTGGTTGGCTTGAAGAGCACGTGGTTGGCTCAACTGATAAAGCACATGATGGGGTTGTGCTTGTTAACACCCCTGGCCTGTGCAGCCCTTTCATCCACCAGTGGTACTTTGCTACTGTCTCTCTCTCCCCACCCCTCCCCCCTCTCCACCTCGCGTCCTTGTGCTCCCGTCCCGTGTGGTGTGTGTCGTGTGTGTGTGTCGGCGGGCAGGAGGTGGTGTTGAGCAAGGACTCGCTACCCTCTCTCTCTCTCAAGCGGTCCGTGTATTAGATCCAAGCAAATACAGACATGCAAAGGATAGAGATGCTACCCTCTCTCTCTCTCTCTCTCTCTCTCTCTCTCTCTCTCTCTCTCTCTCTCTCTCTCTCTCTCTCTCTCTCTCACTCCCCACCCCTCTCCCGTGTGGTGCATGTGCGTTTGTGTGGGCGTGCAGGAGGTGGCGTTGAGCAAGGACTCGCTACCCTCTCTCTCTCTCCCCCCCTCTCCACCTCGCGTCCTTGTGCTCCCGTCCCGTGTGGTGCGTGTCGTGTGTGTGTGTGGCCGTGCAGGAGGTGGCTTTGAGCAAGGACTCGCTGCTGGCGGCGGTGAAGGAGGAGACGATGCGCAACGCGGACATGCTGCTTGCTGCTGCCAACACTCGCAAGGTCAGACAGACCCGTGCTGCCAACACTCGCAAGGTCAGACCGTGCTGCCAACACTCGCAAGGTCAGACCGTGCTGCCAACACTCGCAAGGTCAGACCGTGCTGCCAACACTCGCAAGGTCAGACCGTGCTGCCAACACTCGCAAGGTCAGACCGTGCTGCCAACACTCGCAAGGTCAGACCGTGCTGCCAACACTCGCAAGGTCAGACCGTGCTGCCAACACTCGCAAGGTCAGACCGTGCTGCCAACACGCGCAAGGTCAGACCGTGCTGCCAACACTCGCAAGGTCAGACCGTGCTGCCAACACCCGCAAGGTCAGACCGTGCTGCCAACACTCGCAAGGTCAGACCGTGCTGCCAACACCCGCAAGGTCGGACCGTGCTGCCAACACTCGCAAGGTCAGACCGTGCTGCCAACACTCGCAAGGTCAGACCGTGCTGCCAACACTCGCAAGGTCAGACCGTGCTACCAACACTCGCAAGGTCAGACCGTGCTGCCAACACCCGCAAGGTCAGACCGTGCTGCCAACACTCGCAAGGTCAGACCGTGCTGCCAACACTCGCAAGGTCAGACCGTGCTGCCAACACTCGCAAGGTCAGACCGTGCTGCCAACACTCGCAAGGTCAGACCGTGCTGCCAACACTCGCAAGGTCAGACCGTGCTGCCAACACTCGCAAGGTCAGACCGTGCTGCCAACACTCGCAAGGTCAGACCGTGCTGCCAACACTCGCAAGGTCAGACCGTGCTGCCAACACTCGCAAGGTCAGACCGTGCTGCCAACACTCGCAAGGTCAGACCGTGCTGCCAACACTCGCAAGGTCAGACCGTGCTGCCAACACTCGCAAGGTCAGACATGGCATCAACCTTGTCTTGTCTAACCCTCTCCATCACCCCGCCATTCAACCCTTCACTCTCTCTCCTCCCCCCATCCCCTCTTCCCCCTTTCCCCATGCCTCCATTCCCCTCCTGTGTGCGGTGTTGTGAGGGCAGGAGTTGGCGGGGGCGGAGGCGCGGGTAGCAGCGCTGCAAGGGTCGGTGGCGGCACTGGAGGCGGAGGTGAGGCAGCAGGACCAGCTGCTCAACGACATCCGCGCCGATGCTGTCTCCAGTGCTGATGCCCTGCGCACCGCTGCTCAGATCAACCAGGTGGGTTTTGAGTCGAATCAAAAGGCATAGGAGGCGGAGGTGAGGTAGCAGGACCAGCTGCTCAGCGACATCCGCGCTGACGCTGTCTCCAGTGCTGACGCCCTGCGCACCGCTGCTCAGATCAACCAGGTGGGCGGCAGAGTGGTTCGGATCAACCAGGTGGGCTGTTGGGTGGTGCAGGCAGGTAAGGCGAACAGGGTGAGAGTTGAAACTTGGGAGGTTAGGGTGATGGACGGACTGGGCGAGGGGAAGAAGCGATGAGGCACGAGTGAGTGGCCCAGTAGGCACTGCAAGGACTGCAAGTGGTCATGTGAGCACCACGCTGCTGCTCACCCCTTGCACCCCCTGTGCCTCCCCATGCCTGTCCCCCTCCCACCGTGGTGGTGGCATGGCAGGACCTGAATGCAGCGAGGGAGCGCGAGGCGGAGCTGTTGGAGCAGCTGGAGCAGCGCGAGGCGGAGGTGGAGAGTCTGCGCCGCGACAACTTCGAGAACATCCGCGCGCAGCGAGCTGAGCTCGTGAGACAAGAAAAAGAGAGGGGGGGAGGGGGTGGGGGCAGCGCGCTGAGCTCGTGAGTCATTGGAAAGGGGGGGGAAGGGGGTGGGGGCAGCGCGCTGAGCTCGTGAGTCATTAGAAAGGGGGGGGGGAGGGGGTGGGGGCAGCGCGCTGAGCTCGTGAGTCATTGGAAAGGGGGGGGGGAGGGTGTGGGGGCAGCGCGCTGAGCTCGTGAGACAAGAAAAAGAGAGGGGGGAGGGTTGCTTGGAGGGCAGCGCGCTCAGCTCGTGAGACAACAGGGGGGGGAGGGGGTAGGGTTTCTTTGCTCGTGAGTCATTGGAGGGCAGCGCGCTGAGCTCGTGAGACAACAGGGGGGGGAGGGGGTAGGGTTTCTTTGCTCGTGAGTCATTGGAGGGCAGCGCGCTGAGCTCGTGAGTCAAGAAACGGGGGGGGGGGGGGAGAGGATTGTTTTGCTTTCAGGGCGGAACTTCTTGTGCAGCGCCCCCATCTATGTTGCACCTGACGCCCTGGAAGACGCGTCAAATCGGTTTGACGCTGGACGTTCGGGGAAAATTTTTTCGGGCAGCCCGAAAAAAAAATTCTCCTGCGAAATTGACTCGCGATTTCATCGCGACCAGAATTGACGATGAAATTGCCAACTGGGGGCCGCGTTTTTTACCTAAAAAACGCAACCCTCATTTATTCCCCCCCACACATTTGTACCCATCCACATCTACTTCTCCCAACCTGGTCGACCCCCAACTAAACTAGAGAACCAGATCCAGGTCAGGAGTATTTAACTTGTGTGTGAGATTAGGAGATTTTCAGGATTTTCTGGATTTTAAGGAGTATTTATAACTGAAGGTGACAAATGTGAACTTCTTGCATTCTAACCCCTGCGTATCCTTACTAGGCAGGTTTTTTTACCCCTGCCCGGAAAACATTTTTGCCCTGCCCGGACTAGCGTCAAGCGGGCGTCCAGGGCAGAGGGCACCGGGCGTCAAGCGTCTGGACGCCCCGTCCAGACGCCAGCGTCAAAAACGCCTGACGCGTCAGGCGCAACATAGGCCCCCATTACCTCCTCGCTGCTTCACTCCTCTTCCCTCGCTTCCTGTATGCCCCTTTTCCAGCACTAAACCACCAATCCCCTCCCTTTCCCCCTCTCCCCCCGTCCCCTCCCCAGTTTTTGTGTGTGGTGCGACTGGCGGGGGGCAGGCACTGCGCGAGGCGGAGAGGAGGGCGCGGGAGCTGGAGATGGGGAGGGGGTCGCTGCTTCACCCCCACTCTCCCCAACCCCTCAAAACCACCACTCTCCCCACCCCCTCAAAACCACCACTCTCCCCACCCCCTCAAAACCCCCACTCTCCCCACCCCCTCAAAACCCCCACTCTCCCCACCCCCTCAAAACCCCCACTCTCCCCACCCCCACAAAACCACCTCTCTCCCCACCCCCACAAAACCACCTCTCTCCCCACCCCCACAAACCGCCTCTCTCCCCACCCCCACAAACCGCCTCTCTCCCCACCCCCTCAAACCGCCTCTCTCCCCCCTTCCTTCCTCCAGGCGCTGCGGGAGGCGGAGAGGCGGGCGCGCGAGCTGGAGATGGAGAGGGAGTCACTGCGGCGGGGCGTGGCGAAGCGCGACCAGGCGCTGGGGCTCATGAAGAGGGAGCTCGAGCGCAGCGCGCACATGCTCTCCGCCGCTGCTGACACCCGCCAGGTGAGGCAGCGCCCACATGCTCTCCGCCGCTGCGGACACCCGCCAAGTGAGGCGTGCTGCTCACATCACACTCGCCGGCTGCTGTTTTCAGGTAGATGAGCTTGTGGAGCAACAGCTGTGCTGTGACTGAGGGAATTTCTTTGCACTGTGCCCCCCTTTCCCTCCCTTGCCATGGGATACCTCCCTCATGCACTCCCATTGTGCCCTCGTGCACTCCCATTGTGCCCTCATGCACTCCCATTGTGCCCTCATGCACTCCCATTGTGCCCTCATGCACTCCCATTGTGCGCTGGGAACGGCAGGCGCTGCGGAGCATGAAGGAGCAGATGGAGTGGATGCAGGAGGAGGCGTGCGTCAAGGAGGAGCGCCTGGCAGCGCTGCAGGAGGAGTTTGTCTCCGCGCTCAAGGGCACCACCTTCCCATCGCTGGTACACGCCTGTTCTGTGCACGCATGCATGAATGCATTTGTTATCCTTGGTGCTTCTCCTCGTATGTGGATGTGCAGCAAGTTTGCAGTTTTCGTAAACCTCACTTCGCCAGTGCTCATTTCTTTTCTGAACTGACATGATTCATGCAGGACAAGAGCATTCTAAAGCGAAGAAAGGTGCCGCCACAAGGGAAGTCGTCTGGAGATGCGCAACCCCAATCACCTGCCTGATAGCAACACTTACCTCCATGGCTATGGAGTGCCTGTAGCAGCAAGCATGAGTGCTTGGTTCCTGAGTATGTATGCAAGCATGTTGGTGATGCTAATTATCGGTGCTTGATTAGCATGTTCTTAGTTGAGGGTTGGAAATGTAGAAACATATTGTAGAGAGTTGCGAGCAGCTTTGGCGCGGATGCAATTTCCGGTAAGCAGCAAGCAATGTTCGACGGCTGTAAGCCACTCATCTGTAATCCTTGAGCCATGAATTTGGCCTACACTGTACGTACAGTATTGGCTGCGGGTTTCTACCCACATGAGGCGGTTGGACTCTACGAAGTTTTGAGGGCGCGAATCGTTGGCGACCGTCGTTCGGCACCCCTTTCCTTCAAACGGGTCCGAGCCCATTCTCGCTACCACGAACACACCCCCCTCGGTCCTTCGATGCTTTTCCCAACGCCAATAGGGATGCATGCGCTTCTTTACCATTTGTCGGCAGACACAGGTGTCATCGCAGACGCCGAACTGTTCTATGCGCGCGAACCAAGTCGAAAGTTCTCTAGTAGGTGTATTTGAGCCTGGACCATGCTTATATACAACAACGTTCAGGTCGTTCGATGCTTTTCCCTACGCCTAAGGGATGCATGCGCTACCTTTACTTTTGTCGGCAGACACAACCGTCATCGCAGGCGCCGAACTTTTCTGTGCGCACGAACCAAGACGAAAGTGCCGAAGTAGGTGTATTTGAGCATGAGCCACCCAAATATGCAAGAACGTTCAGGTCGTTCGATACTTTTCCTTACGCCTATAGGGATGCATGCGCTTCATTAGCATTTGTCGGCAGACACTGCCGTCATCGCAAACGCCGAACTATTCTGTGCGTACGAACCAAGCTGAAAGTGCTCTGATAGGTGTATTTGAGCATGGGCCACTCGAACATGCAACAACGTTTAGGTCTTTCGATGATTTTTCCTAATCCTATAGGGATCCATGCGCTTCCTTAGCATTTGTCGGTAGACACTGCCGTTATCGCACGCGCCGAACTTTTCTGAACGCGCGAACCAAACCGAAAGTGCTCTGGTAGGTGTATTTGAGCATGGGCCAGCCGAATATGCAACAACATTCAGGTCGGTCGATGCTTTTCCCTACGCCTATAGGGATGAATGCGCTTCCTCAGCATTTGTCGGCAGACACAGGCGTCATCGCATGCGCCGAACTTTTATGAGCGCGCGAATCAAGCCAAAAGTGCTCTGGTAGCTGTATTTGAGCATGGGCCACCCGAATATGCAACAACATTTAGGTCGTTCGATGCTTTTCCCTACGCCTATAGGGATGCATACGCTTCCTTAGCATTTGTTGGCAGACACAAGCGCCGACATTTTCTGGGCGCACGAACCAAGCTGAAAGTGCTCTAGTAGGTGTATTTGAGCATGGGCCACCCGAATATGCAACAACGTTCTGGTCGTTCGATGCTTTTCCCTACGCCTATAGGGATGCATGCGCTTCCTTAGCATTTGTCTGCAGACACAGGAGTCATCGCACGCGCCGAACTTTTCTTTGCGCGCGAACCAAGCTGAAAGTGCCCAGGTACCGTATTCTCCTGGAAAAAACACCCCCCCATGATAGAGCACCCCCGGGTAGCTTGTGCGGGGTGGGTGCTATGGACGACCTCGATTTCACTATACCCCCCTTTTTGGATGATTTTTTATAACACCCCCGTTTTCTTACACATTCTATATTATAGCTGTTAATGAGTAGGTGCAAATACGGAAGTATATCGCGAAAATCCCTCGCTCGATGAAATTTTTCGGTTCTTTCACATCAAATCTGCCGAGATTCCCCCCCGCCCACTATTTCGCTGTCGCCAGGTGCTGGCGAATCTTCCGCTGCATGTGGCCAGGGGGGTGCCAAATGACATTTTCGAGGGGTTGATGACGTTCGCGTCGAAAACTGGCATTCGCGCCTGTGATGTTTAAAAGCCCATGGAAACACTCAACTTCTCTAATAAAAAAAAACTAACACTAAAATATACCATCTATATGCATCCGGGTATTATGTAGCTTTTTCCTATGAGAAGACACCCCCCTTTTTTTTCCTGTATTTTTAGTGTCAGAGGTTCACTGGTGATCCCCGATTGATCCTAGGGAAGAGTTACAGGCATGTTGGCCTGGGGGGTTATGGGCGCACTTACCCGCTATACAAACGCCCTTTTATCCCAATGGTTAGTGGTTGGGATTCTGACATGGTATCAGAGCAAAGGTCTCGGGTTCGAATCCCGGTGTGTGCATTTCGGGCATCCCAGTGCGGCGGGGTGTCAGAGGTCCACTGGTGATCCCCGATTGATCCTAGGGAAGGGTTACAGGCATGTTGGCCTGGGGGGTTATGGGCGCACTTACCCGCTATACAAACGCCCTTTTATCCCAATGGTTAGTGGTTGGGATTCTGACATTTAGATCTACCCTAGGGTGTTATGTCCGGGAGAATACGGTAGGTTTATTTAGGCATACGCAATCCGAATATGCAACAACGCCCAGGTCGTTCGATGCTTTTTGTGGAAATTGGAACGAGAATGATTGCATTGAGCAGCATGAGGAGTACAAGTACCAAACCCTAAAGTGTTGTACCCCATATAAGCTACCCCACTACAGCCTACATAGACTATAGCATATGAGTTTGACACACCCCCATAGGCAAAGTGGGGGAGAACAAGGGGTCATAAGACCAGTCAAGCAAAGCACAGCAAGCTCAGGGTGGATCACAACGTCACCACACATTCTGAGCACAAGTTCAACGGCCACAAGGCCAGTTCACATGCAAGTATATATATATATGAAGCTAAACATGCAAGTGCAAGTATATAAAGGTCAAGGTAGACACAAGAAGTGAGCAAGTGAGGCAAGGTAGACACAAGGCCTAACAAGGTACAGAAGCGCTGATGGTCACAAGGCGCGAGTGCCTTGGTGAAGATATCAGCAGTGTTGGCCTCAGAGGCAAGTAAGCAAGGCGCAGCTGACCGCGCTGCTGCAGCTCACGAGCAAGGAAGTAGCGAAGAGCGATGTGCTTCGTTCTGTGCTCCAGTCTGTGCTCCCGACACAAGGCCAACATGGCCTTGTTGTCTACGTACAGAACTGGAGGAGAACGAGGCGGCTCTCCTAGGTCAGTCAGCAGGTAGGTGAGCCAGCGTAGCTCCTGTGCAGCCATGGCCCCTGCGTAGATCTCAGCCTCACAGCTGGAGCCGAGAACAGAAGACGAGCGGGTAGACCGCCACGAAACAGAGCCGGAACCACGGCTGAAGGTGTAACCCTGTGACGACCGCTGCGTAGCCTGGTCGTCAGCCCAAGAAGCGTCTGCGTGACCAGTGAGGACCACTGGACTCCGCCCTCCAAGCACAAGCCCCATGCCCGACGTACTGCACAAGTAACGCAACACCCTCTTCGCTGCAGCCATGTGCTCTGGTCTGTGTCTCCCAGGAGCAACATAGCGTGCCAGAATGCTAAGAGGAGTACGTGAAGCCGAAGCGCTGGAGGACCTGCTGCACCATGTGTGACTGAGTCAGGGTAATGGTGCGCTGTGCTCTGTCCCGGGTGATCTGCAAGCCAAGATAGCTGCGCAGTTCACCTAGGTCTGTGCACGTGTGTCTCTTCTGCAGCTCCGACTTCACGTAGGCGAGTCCAGCAGTGTCAGCTGTGGCAAAGACCAAGTCGTCGACGTACACGAGGATGTAGAACGGCGGCAAAGAAGTGTCGGTGCGCAGAAACAGTGACGGGTTGGCAGTAGAAGGAGCAAACCCAAGAGCCGCAAGTGTAGTCCTCAGTGTGTCGTGCCACTCACGAGGTGCCTCGCGGAGACCGTAGACTGGCCGCCGGAGGCTCCACTGGGTGCCAGGAGGAAAAGTCCCAGTGAAGCTAGGTGGGCGGCGCAGCCAGATCTCCTCGTGCAGGCTGCCCTGCAAGAAAGCAGTGCTGAAGTCAAGAGAGTGAAGCTCGTAGTCACGGTGAGCGGCTATGTGCAGTAGTACCCGAAGAGTGGTCATCTTCGGGGTGGGAGAGAAGGTCTGAAAGTAGTCAACTCCCTGCCGCTGGCTGAAGCCACGAGCCACGTAGCGCGCCTTGAAGACAGGCGGAGAACCCGGCGGCCGCTTCACCCTGAAAATCCACATGCCACTGACGATGTTCGCCCCAGGCGGGGGAACCTCGTCAACGTAGGTGCCTGTGGACTTCCAGGAAGCCATCTCTGCATCCATGGCTGCCTGCCACTGAGAGGAGTAGGGACCCTCTATCGCCTCCGCGTAAGAGCGCGGAGTCGGGATGTCTGGTGCATCCGGGTCTCCCTCAGGGGCAAGTAGCATGGACACGAGATGAGGTGAAGCAGCCGCAAGACACTGGAACTCCTCCTGCCTGTCCTCAAGGACGTCCGTGCCAAGAGCACACTCACCCCCGACGGACGGAGGACAGACAGACACAGACTCAGCGACAAGACTAGCAGCGTAGTCTAGACGACAGCGAGCAGCGAAGTCGACAAGCTCAGCAACTAGGGCAGACGCAGCAGTGGACTCAAAGGAAGGGTCAGTGACGACAGTAGCAAGGAGACGCGTGACAGTAGGACTGGCAGCATGAAGGGAGTCTGACTCGGGGTCAGCAAGACCAGGAAGAGAGGACTCAGGAGGAGAAGGCAAAGGGGCACGCAGTGGAGCAGTGGAAGGACGCAGAGACATCCGGTGCGTGCCGGGGACAGGGGGAGGACGCTGACGCGAACTACGACCACTAGTGCGAGCAGCACGGACAGGCGACGCAGGGCGAGACGCAGGCTCACGACGCTCAGCAAGACCTCCAGTAGGACCAGTGTAGGGAGAAGGAGCAGGTAGAGGAGAGGCAGGCTGTAACTGTGACTCGGACAGGACAGGCGGTGGACACTCTAAGGGAGGAGCCGGACTAGCAGAGGGCGGAAGGCCAAGAACCTGCTCAAGGAGCGGAACGAAGTACGGCCGCGGCCGCTCAGCACCACCAGCACAAGAA